TCCCCAGGCCCACGGGTACCTGAGATCTGCGGCCTCCTCCGTCGCCAGCTGGCCCTGCCTCTCCAGGACATTCTGCCTGCTCAGTAGCTGGGCCTTCTCCTCAGACAGAGCGTCCTTCTCTCCAAGAGCTTGCTGGAGAGCCTCCATCTGGGCCTCCTGCTCCTGCAGCCTCTGTGCCAACTGCTCCTCCAGGGCTTGTTTCTCCCGTGTGACCTGAGGGAAGGGACACAGGGTGGCAGGGAGCAGAGCGATGGGGGAGGGGCTCCAGCGAGGAAGCGGGGGCTGGGAAGAACCGGCTCCACTCCTGATATGACGGTGCCATCCCCACACAGAGCCAGCTGCCGGCCTCCACAGCTAGCTCGCGGCCCGCGGGACCCCAGGCGCAGGGCGGGCACATGGCGTAGAAGAATGCAGAACACACCCCAGGCCTTCCCATGAGGCCTGGCCTTCCCGCGAGGCCTGGCGTGCTCCGGAGGCAGCTGGGGCCGAGGGAGCTGGGAACTCGGGAGAAGACAGACAGGAAGGAACCTGCCACTGAGTGTCTCCATCCCTTAAAGCATTTGCTAATCTACAGTTTGGGCTGAGAAGTGGAGATACCAACACGTTCCAAGTTTCAGTTTATGTTCACAGAAGGGCTGGGGGCAGGGGAGGGGCGTGTCGGAGCCCGGTGCCAGTGAGCCAGCCGCGGGTGGTAATGGAGCTCACCTCCACCTGTACCGCTGTCAGAACCAAAAGTGAGTCCTCCCCGGAAGAACATCATCCTCCATATCTTTAAATTATACGTAACAAAACCTTCCTCAGAGTGTTTTGCATTTGACCAACATGACCAGGCTTACTTGAAGACAGGACCACAGGAAAGAACAGAAGAGAAACACAGGCATTTTCTGGTTACTGGACACAGGATTTAAAACAGTTGATTACAGGGCTGGGAAGGTGGCTTAGAGCTTGCCTTGCATGCACGAGGCCCTGGGTTCAATTCCTCAGGACCACATAAATGAAATAAATAATTAATTTTAAACAATTGATTAATATGATAAAGAAAAGGCTTGACAAGATGTAGACTTTAATCAACAGAACTGGAGAGTAAGTACACATGATATCATTGACACTATAGCAATCAGAATAAATTAATACATGTATTCAATGTCAGAATATCCAGAAGAGAGGTCTAATAATCTGGACAACAGACCAAACAATATTCAGACTTAATCATGAAAAGGAAAAAGTATGGAAATTAAAGAGTATAATAGACGCCGAAGACAAGAAAAAAGCTCCATCATATGTTTAACTTACCAGATTCTAATTCTCATAAAGATGTTATAAGAAAATTATAGACCAATACTCTTCATTTAATAAAGATACAAAAATCCTTAGCATTGGGGCTGGGAAGGTGGCTCAGTGGTAGAGCGCTTGCCTTGCATGCCTGAGGCCCTGGTTTCGATTCCTCAGCACCACATAAGCAAAAAGAAAAAAGCCGGAAGTGGCGCTGTGGCTCAAGTGGTAGAGTGCTAGCCTTGAGCTGAAGAGCTGAGGCTGAAGAGCTGAGGGACAGCGCCCAGGCTGAGTTCAGGCCCCACAACTGGACCCCCCGCCAAAATCCTTACCATAATATAATAAGCTGAATCCAAAAATATCTAAAATGGATATTAATTTATGACCAAGAAGGAATTAATGGTGTGTGTGTGTGTGTGTGCGTGTGTGTGTGTATGTGTGTGTGTGTGTGAGATAGGGTGTGAATTCAGGGTCTTGTACTTGCTAGGTAGGTGCTTTATCACCCAGCCACACTTTCAACCCTGTCCATCACTAATTTCTGAAAAAACCTTTCAGAAAATGGAATGTCCTGATAAAAGGCATCAACAGAATCCTGATCAACTGATCAAGGCTCTAACTGGTTTTTTCTGGGGAAGGAATTAAAAATTGATGAGTAGATTCTAAGATGGAGATGGAGATGTAAAGAAAGGGCTTAGCACACGTGGATCAGAACACGGTGGTAGTGACGCTGGCCCGACGGCGTTGAGGGCGCCGGCTGGGCAGGTGTCCTTCCTGCAGGTACGTCTCCTCCCCAAGCTGCACACCTCAAGGTCAAAGATGACGACCTTTGTTGATAGAGGAACACTGGTCTTCTGTCAAGGGAGTTGTGCTCTAAACAAGCTCTCCAGAGAACCAGGGAGGGAGCACACCTTAGGCTGTGAACTAGAAGGCGGTTAGAAGTCAGGGTGGTTTTGTTGAAAGCATGGGTCTGTTTGTACAGGCCAACAAGCCTCACATGAATGATCAATGCATTTTCGAGAGGTTGTTAGGCGAGTCAAGTATGGAAACAGAGACTCCCTTAGAAATGGGGATGTAAACAGCACATGAAACTGAAAGCCGGGGGGCCTTAGCCCCCACCTCTCTCACTTCATTGCCCCAGGCTAATGAAAACCCAGATTTGCAGGTGCTCCCACAGAGTTTGGTTAAGCAGGGCTGGGGTGGGGCGCGAGGGTTTGCTGCTGGTGTGGAGAACATAATGACAGAATCTCAGATTAACTTGACATGTAGAAGACCTAAACCACATCTTCCTCAAAATCACAGGAGCAGCTGGGTGCTGGTGGCTCACGCCTGTAACCCTAGCTACTGAGGAGCCTGAGATCGGAGGATCATGGTTCAGAGCTGAGGATCATGGTTCAGAGCCAGCCCCGGGATGGTTGTGAGACTCCTATCTCCAATGAACCGCCAGAAAACCGGAAGTGGCGCTGTGGCTCAAGTGGTAGAGTGCTCACCCTGAGTTGAGCTCAGGTGCAGTGCCCAGGCCCAGAGTTCAAGACCCACAACTGACAAAACAACAACAACAACAACAACAACAAACCCACAAGAGGCTGTCTTCTTGTTCTTGGGCTAGGCAAATGTTCTCAGACAGGACCTGGGAAATACTTTTCTTTTGCTTTTTTTCTTGGTCTAAGACTGGGACTTTAACTTGGTACCTGGTGCTTTTGCTCACTGGTTAGTGCTCTATCAACTGAAGAATGCCTCCAACCCCTGAAACTATGAAATACTAGTCACAAACTAAAGATGAAATTTTCCAAAGTTAAACTTTTACTTCCATCAAAAACACCATTAAGAACTAGAAGCAAAGGCTCACCCATGTAGCCACCCATGCTTGAAATCAGCCTGGACAAGAGGTGAGTCCAGAAACTGTACCCATGACCTCCCAGATACAAGGAGGAGCTGGGGAGGAGAACGGGGTTGGAGCCAGCCCCCTGAGACCCCAAGTCAAAAGGGGGGAACCAGAAGGCTAGGGACATGGCCCAAGTGGTGACAAGCCCAACTGGCAGACACAAGGTCCTGAATCCAAGTCTCAGAACTGCCTGCATTTCCTATGAGCATGTTACAGGATACAGTGTGCCTGTCTGACATCAGATACGCTAAGTGTGACACGGTGCGTTCGCACATGCGAACACATCATGTGTGACACGCGGTGCGTGTGCACGTGCGAACACATCATGTGTGACACGCGGTGTGTGCACACATGCGAACACATCACGTGTGACACACAGTGTGTGCACACATGTGAACACATCACCTGTGACACGCGGTGCGTGCACACATGCGAACACATCACGTGTGACACGGTGCGTGCGCACATGCGAACACATCACGTGTGACACAGTGCGTGCGCACGTGCGGACACATCACGTGTGACACGCGGTGTGTGTGCACGTGCGAACACATCACATGTGACACACAGTGTGTGCACACATGCGAACACATCACCTGTGACACACAGTGTGTGCACACATGCGAACACATCACCTGAGACACGCGGTGCGTGCGCACGTGCAAACACATCATGTGTGACACACAGTGCGTGCGCACGTGCAAACACATCACGTGTGACACACAGTGCGTGCGCACGTGCGAACACATCACGTGTGACACACAGTGCGTGCGCACATGCGAACACATCACGTGTGACACACAGTGTGTGCACACATGCGAACACATCACGTGTGACACAGTGTATGCACACATGCGAACACATCACGTGTGACACGCGGTGCGTGCGCACGTGCGAACACATCACGTGTGACACACAGTGCGTGCGCACATGCAAACACATCACGTGTGACACACAGTGTGTGCGCATGTGCAAACACATCACGAAGGACAAGTTCCGAGAGCATGCACGGAGAGGACGAAGAACTCCTATACCCCCGCAGTCAGAACACGAAGTCCTAACTCAAAAGCAGGCCGGGCGCCGGTGGCTGGCGGCGGTACCGCGGGCTGCTCAGGAGGCCGAGATCCGAGGGCGTGGGTTCGAGGCCCGCCGGGGAGCCGGGCGGCGGGTGCGGTGACCCCAGGGTCCGCCGACCACGTGCCCACCCTCCTTCAACAGGGGGAGGGAAAACACCGGAAAAAGGAGCCTGAAAATGGACGGCCGGGACTCAGCGGGACGGCTTCCGAGGGGCGGCCGGGGACGAGGCCCGGGCCCCGAGGGGCGGCCGGGGACGAGGCCCG